GTGGGAATTGGCCCAGAAAAGCCCCCATGGGGAGCAGTCAACTAACATATGTACGTATGAATGTAACTGAACAGTCAGCAGAATTCCATGAGTCACTAGCTTTTTCTGAGAGCCCTGTGAGTTAACCCACTTCCAGAAGTGATTAACTTGTAACTTCTCCCTCTAATATCCATACATTATCCAGCAAACAGCTAATGAGAATACTCAAACTTATCATGTACAAGTTGTTACCTTGATTGAACACCAAATTCTCAGAACCAATTTACAAGGAAATGTGTAGCAGCTAGAGGGGAGAATTCATAATCAGATCTTGGGAAATAAAGGGCTGAGGAGGTTTTGGTATTGTTGGTTTTTTACATTTTAAATATGATTGATATTAGAGGTGGTTCTGTATCATGAACCAAGCACAGAACCTTTCCAGAAGATAACAGTTGTTCAGTTGGCTCTGTGAGTAAAGAGTCAGAAAAAGTCGATCATCATCATATTTTTTTGGTCAGAAATTTTCAGTGGTCAAGTCAAGAACTGTAATCATGCTTCATACAGTTGAAGAACTATGCTGAAACCATAGTGATGGCATTTTTAATCCCTATACTACAGCTACTTTCTTCCTAGACCAAGTTTTGTGACAGGAAAGTGGGTAGCCTACTGTCAGTTGGGATTAATACCATTGAAATCTGTTGATTTTTAATAAGCCATACAAAAAACACTGTTGAGAAATGTTTCAAGAAGGATGTGTATTTCTTGTTTTTGTGTAGCAAACTGCTGGTCAAAGTATGATTGAGTTCAAAGAAATTCAAATGGGTGATGGTGGAGTTTACACATGTGAAGCATGGAACAATGCTCAGGACCGCGATGGAAATCTAATTATCAAAAAACTGAACAAAACAATAAATGTTGAATGTGAGTAATTCAGGACAAGTTTATGCCAATTTGATTCTAGTACACTTAAGACTGCATCTTTTAGGTTAAGTACGAGCCAAAAAGGCTTCCCCATATGTGAATTCATGTAAATTTGAGATGGACACTCTTTTACTTGAATTTTGTTTTTTTTTGTTGTTTTTAAGTCAGACTCACTTTTCTGTAATAGATCAATGGGCAAGAAAACCATGCTCAGACTAGAAGTATTGTCCTCACTTAAATATGACAAACCCAGTCAGTCGAAGGGCACCATTCAAACTTTTGTTTTCAAGGGAGTTAATCAACTCACCAATTTTTATGTATCATTCATATGATTCAATAATTTATGGATGAAAGTTTGAGTTTGGAGATCAGATGCCAACAGACTTCTAGGCTTCCATTATAAAACTATTGAATTAATTGGAGAGCGGTGGTTGTTTGACAGTGTGGCCTGAGGGGCAGGTGCTTATTGGAGGGGGGGGCATTTAGAGTGTGGGTGCTTATTCAAGCAAATATGGCACTCATGCTCATCACTTCTGCAATCACAAATCAAGTTGGATTTCACCCAGCCATATTGCCATTAGTAATGTATTATCTTCCCTTGTAGCTAAACCTATTTATGATGAGATGGCCTCACCTAGCCCTGTGTTCTCTTATGTGGGGAACAGTGATCCAACGTACATACGCTGCGTGTATGATGGGTATCCTAAACCCTGGGTAAGAATGACCTTTGGTGGAAAGTTGAAGTCCAATGGCACTGGCAAAGCAGAGTTCAAGATTATTACAAATGCAATCAAGTACTTTGGTGATTACAAGTGTTCTGCAAAAAATAAGTTTGGATGGACCAATAAAACTGTGAAACTGGAAACAGCAAGTAAGAAATTTTGTTGAATGTCACTGAGAACACTTGCCAGTGTACAATGCAATGTGTGGCTTCATGAAATATCCATACATTACTGAAGAGGCAGTTGCCGATAATATACCACGTCCGCCTTTCTGAAATTTCCAAAAGTATTTTGGACATCTTTGAAGGTCTTTGGAAAAATCCACTTTACACAAGCTAGTTTGATAAATTTCTCATTAATAAGCCACTTTCTCAATGAAATTCTTTGGCAACATGAAGTGTGAATCACTAATCAGATCTTGACCCTATGTATCTTAATATCAGCAGGCAAAATTATCATTACTGTTTTTTATACTGTCCCCTAGAGTGGTCAAGGAGAATTTCTTTAACAATTGTAACCCTCGTGTATTTGGTGGTTATTTTTTTTCATTCTTTTGACCTTAATGCTTGATGAAGTGGTAACAACACTGTCAAGATAAATTAGATGCTAGTCGCTACACAATAGCAAGGGTGTTAAGTAAGAATGAGTTTCTTGTAACTTTTTTGTCTTGCTTTTCAGAAAAGCCAGGTCAGATTCAAAATCTTAAACTCACTTCAACCTGTAACAGTATCAAACTTACTTGGACTCCACCCAGTGAAAATGGTGGTATGCCCGTCAACAAATATGTTTTGAATTACAAAAGCACAACACGTAACATTGATAGTGATTCTACAACATATACTATCAAAAACCTTGAAAGAAACACTGCTTACAAAATTGATGTGAGAGCTACCAACAAGGCTGATTGGGGAGACACAAGTAGCGTGGAAACAAAGACTACCCAATTCTGTGAGTAGACTTCAATCATTGTTGCCTCTTCAAACCTACAAACTTGATCTCAAGGGTTAGAAAATTTTGCTGCTTATGGTTTAGGACTATAAAGTTCTGCTTTGTAACTTTAATTTAATGATCTTAAAGTGGGTTTTCAGAAATATTCTTAACCCTTTACACGCTAAGATCAATCTGCATCTTCTCCATACTGTTCTCTATACATTTCTCAAGGTATTGACAAAGAGAATTTGTTTCAGTAACAATCAAGAGCTCTCATAGTTGGTCACTCAAAGGGTTAAGGCTGAAAGGGTTGGAAAATTGGACTTTCCCCTTGGAAGCATGATTAAAAATATCACATGAAAATATAGCCCATTACATTTAGTTTTCGTATGCATGGCCACACACCAGGATCTCATCACATTTTCTGCACTTTTAAGAGTTGGTGTCTTGCATATTTTAAACGAACCACAATAAACAGTTTCATTCATAGACCAGAAATTGGCAACACCTTGTTCAACAACATAAGCAGCATTACTAATAATAAAAGTATTTTCCCTGTAGCTTTTTTGACTAGTCAGTCACAGAAGGGTTTTGCCAGCTCTCCCAAGCTGTGAAGTTAGAATCTGTCATATTTCGTATGAACTAAAGCAATGAGTTCCATTCGTGGGGAAAGAAGTTCAAGCCACCTAACACCAGTGGCACAAGCTTCCGGTACAGCATAAGAGAGAAATTTAATCACAAGCATCAGCTTATGGTGACCCTACCATTAAAAAAGGGTGACCCAGCCAGGGGGGTCGCGCCCTTTCATGATGGTAGAGTCACTTTCCCAGCCGGATAAACTTTCCTCCTTGTAAATCATTGTCATTGCGAAAGAGAATTGGCGTCAAGATTGAAGTCCAGCTCATCAGGCTCGTTAAAGAAATAGGTCTTGGAGCCGATTGACAGCTTGAAGGAATATAAAAGTCTATGTGAGTTCAATGCCAACAAATCTTGATGATCAAACTGACTTTGACCAGCTCTTAGCTCGGGCCAATTTTTCCTTATACAAAAGTCAGCCAGATTGTTTCTTAATGTCTTAATGCTAAATGGATTTTTCAAAAAATACCCTTACCTTATCAGAAGAGACGTCCTTTCTTCCATATTTTGCTACCGAAATTCTAAAACACCGCCATTTTGTCTCCATTCTTTAGGCGCTCCTGGTCGACCAATCATCTACTCGCCCAAGAACACTCTCCTAACTAAGGACAAGTTCACATTAAAGTGGCGGCAGCCAGAGGACGACGGGGGCGACGGAAACATTAGATATAAACTGCAGTACCGTGTTGAGAGGAAGGGAAGCGATGGACCCTGGAAAACGATCGAAACCGACAAGGAAGAGGCGGAAATCAGCCAACTGGATAACAAAGAGAAATACAAATTCGTTCTGATTGCCATAAATAAAGGGGGTGAGAGCGAGAAGGTGGAGACGTACTTCGATACAAACTATCCTGGAGGTAAAATTTGACTCAGTTAACTGTAGTAATTTATATGGTGAGCTGAATTGAACGCATATTTTGGTTGGTTCTTGCTTATAATCTTTTGAAGTTTATGATACATCGAATATTTTGCTCGCGCGCAATTGGTCGAAATGCTTTGTGGGACCGAATATGCCCCAGCTAAAACCGGGAAATATTTAGTAAATAAACCCCTTCGGGCGGCTGGTATGTCGGCTGATAATGTCCTTGGCTGAGAGATTGTCCTCAAAATTTCATATTTG